CTTTCTTGGGGACCTACAAATTAACAGACCCATTTGGGGTGTGGAACTTGGGTTCTGTACCGGAATTGATGCAACTGGCACCCGGAGGTACCTGTACCAACTCCCAAAGGCAGACCCAACTCACCGGGACATGTCGGGTGCTATGAATCTTGAGAGTCGGAGCCTCCGATCCAGAGCTTGGAGGACATGAGTTGGCACCCGAATTCTGAGGTCCACCAGTGCGGGTCCCAAATCACAAAAAGGTGCCGTTTTTCGGCCCCCCCCCCCCAAAACAAAGAAAGAGCAAGGACCCAAAAAGAACGAAACACACATTTATGACGGCTTTCCTTTTGGCTTCCCCTTTCAAACCAACAACTCGAAAAGAAATTGACAGCCATGACAGCCCCAAATGGGTGTGGGTCAAAGTTAAACAGGAGGGGCAAACCGCAGGTTTTGGTCCATGTTTCCACTTACGAGGGTTCCATTTTGGTAATGGTTTTTTCAGCCCCAGCCAAATCAACCGGGGCCGTGAAGAGGTTCAACGGCTACATCCCCGCCTACCACCTCTCCATGCCTCGAGCGCTACATCGCGCCTTGGGCGAAAGAAAAACCATTCCTTCCACTCGCTGAAATGATGTTATGTTTTTGTTATTTTCCCCTGGTTGTTTTTGTAAAGCAAGCCGACTTGTTTCATGTTCTTTTGTATTTTCCCCTGGTTGTTTTCGTAAAGCAAGCCGATTTCACCACTGGAATTCCACTATATTCCTTCCTTCCATCTTTATTGTCCCTTTTTGGTTTGCAAGGGCATCTATCAGTAGACATATGTTCATTTTTTCCCGGGCGCGTAGGGAAGCCTAGGGCTTCCAGCTCCCCCAAACCACCCTTGCGGATGGGCTGATCGGAGCTGGTTGTCTAAGATGGTTTGCACTACAACCACTCTTGTGCGAAAACTGGTTGCACTGTTCAGAAACGGGATGATTCGATCCCCCAACGTAAATTCAACAAACACCCTTTATGGCTTGTTGGTAGCGGATCTTTCGTTACTTTATCTTTTTGGGTGAAATGTTGCGGATGTTTCTGAATCGGACCCACAACAAGTCAACACTTTTTGCAGAGCGGTCAGCAGCAACCAAGTTATGGGGTTTGATGGGGTATACAACCATAAGTACAGCCATTATGCAAAAGAGTTTCTCCTGCCATATTGGGGGTAGTGGAACTCTCAAAACGAGCCTCTTGCGAATTGCTGGTTTTGGAAGCCAATATTGAGCTCGTGGCCAGGGATATCTCATATCCCGCTGTGGCCTCACGAGTTGGCTTTCTGTTTGGACCATGGGACCCAACCACTGGTGACGAGGAGCACGGTATCTGCCTCTTCTTTTTAAACCATGTGGCCCAAAAACCAATGTCAGGGATCCAGTAAAGGATCTTTGTCATGGCTTTCGCTCGTCTCTTACTCCGGATCGGTGAGCTCGCAACAAATTATGCAGATGGTATGCAGAGGCCTTCCTTTGTTTCCATTTCTCACTCCCTGAGTTGCACTCTGAGTTGTCGCTTTTTGGGAAAAGCATTTTAAGTGTCAAGAAACTTCTTTTTGAGGCCATCCACCGAGAGGAAGCCTATTTCCCCCCGGCTTGTGTGGCCTTGGTGGTATGGTTCATGTTGCCGCTTCCGAGTGGTGTGCTTTGGGCGAATCAAAGCCACGAAAACCATCCAGAAAATCGACTATCAAAACCATCAATGCCTTTTGTCCCATCAACACCATCGAGAATCGTCTAGCCGCATGTGTGTGTTCTTTTGTTTTGCGTGTCCGAGGCTGGGACGGCCGGAAGTACCGGTCAGGCGCTCAGGAGCTCGAGAGAACGTGTTGCTCTTTTGGCGGGGTAGCTTACCCTCTTCATTGGACTCTTCAAGGATCTTCCATTTGCTGATAAGACCATGTTGTTGGTATTTTCCTGCTTCTGTTGGTTTTGCGGGGAATCGATATCACTACTGGACATGCACGTTTTTCCAGGGGGCTCAAGCAAATGGAAGAGATGGACATCCCCAACAAGGGCTTTCTTGTCTAGCTTTGGGGACAATCAGGTTTCATGGCATGGGAAGCTATGAGAGGAAGTTGGACGGCAGGATGGTCGGTGGAATTTCCATGGTTTCCCCCTGGCGGGTTTTACTGGAGTTTTCACTGTGCAGCTAATCTTGGTGATGAAGTTTTCTTTTTCAGCTTTTGGGCTCTTCTCGCTCATTTTCCTAAGGTTGATTCTTTTGCAGGAGTCGTGACGTTTCACGATTTGTCCCTGGCCATTCCTTTCATCAGGATATAGGGGTCAGTTCTGGTGGCAAAACCAGAAAAAAAAGAAAGAAACAAAACGAAACTCATCGGCCCTGCTGAACGGCGCGGTTTCGAGAAGCTCCGAACTGGGCACTCAGAAAGGCCATGGCGGTTGCCTGCCCTTAGCAAGCCTAGTGCGGTTGTTCATTCTGCATGCGCGGGATAGGTGGGGAAGTTGGATTGAACTGGAAGGGGATTCCCGAATAAAGCAAACCACCAGTTGGATGGTTTGTAGGGGTCATTTGTTGATTCCCTGCTGAGCACCAGCAAGGATATCTTGCGGTACTTGGCAAGTCTGCAGTGTGGAGTGGCCACCCGGTGGATCACTGCTTGGCCAGTTGTTGCTGTTGCTGACGCCCTGTGGAACACTGCCGTGGCCACGCTTGCCGCGCACGGCCTTCAACAACGCGCTGTCAGGGCTCGGTCGAAAGCCGAGAGAAGCCAACTCAATGGCAACATTGGCCAGTGCGATATCTCAGTTACCAATATGAGCCGGTCTTTGAAGACAAAAGAGCCTGGAACACGTTTGCGGTGACCGCCATGAGTTTTATGAATTCTTCTATGCCCTCACCTTCAACCAGCCGATTGGATGGGACATCTCTGCGGTGACCAACTTGGACTCTATGTTCTCCAGTGCCCAGTCCTACCAGCCAATTGGTTTGGGATGTTTCTCCTTTGAAAAGCCCAAGAGCCCATGGTTTAGGCGCTGCCGCCGTGCGACGCAGAGGTCCCGGCCGAAATCAACTCATGTGCGAGCGCAGTGGGGTTGGGCCTAAGGATATCCGGGCACTGTGCCCGATGATCGCGGTACATCCAGTGGCCGATGCACTCCGTGAGAGGAGTGGCCTTGAGAAGTGCTCAGCCAGGGCAGCTTGCCGTTGGTGTTGGTAAATATGCACTCTGTATGGTGGCACCTGCCCCAATGAGAGAATGCCCCCTACGCACCATCCCTTGTGGTTTGCTTTAAGAGGACCCATTCCCCATTCCCTACTGAGCACCAGCAAGCTTTCAGGTTTTTCGGCCCACCGATCAAGACATGATTTGCCCGCGTGATGGCAGGCCAGGATGCGCGCACGTTGATTGGATGCCCCGTGACCACTGCTGGGAACAGACACATTGCCGTGCGCTGGACCTGGAAATACAGCGTGCAGCAGGTGCAAAGTGCGTTGCAGACTTTCCGGGACTGTCTGGGGGCAGAACCGTGCTACTTCTTCGCGTGCTTCTTTGTGACCAAGCAGTACCGCATCATTGCGGAAGGAACCGCAGCCGGGGAGTGATCGTCTGGAGGAGCAATCTGCAACGAATTGGCAAGATGGTGGCAGCTCTGGATACTCGGGGTGCCCCAATGTACCTCACTCGTTTTTTGACGGTGTACGAGCAGTCAAATTGAGGTTCATTTCATCATGCCGAAGGCAGTGGAAGAAAACCTGCCGAGAGTTACCGGAGATCGCACTTGCCGCACCTCTGTTGCTCAGTGGCGCCCTTTTGCCCCCTTTTTTTGGGGGAAGGGTTCCCTTGAAACTCAACCAACCGAAAAAAAAAGATGCCCTTTTTTTTCCCATGGAAATCCACTGGGCATCTGAGACACAGTTGTCACGTATCGCAACCAGAAGGTCGCGCTGGTCGTGTCAAGCGCCGATTTCTGGGTCTCCGAAGGGGAACAGCCTGGGTGCGAACCGCCCCAAGAGCTGCTAACCAGACGAACATCTCACGCGCCAAGGAAGGCCAAATAGAAGTGCCAGAGGTGCCAGAGGTGTTTTTGCCACCAAGCCAGTCTGCAAAGCGCAAATTTGGTTTTGCTTGTGACAACTTGGCTCATCCAAAGTGTCGCAAGAGTTCTTGGCACCTGTATGGCGGGAGGCTTGCAGGTTGGGGCCATGTTTAGCGTCCCCGGCCCAACGACAAATGATTTGGCCCGTGTCAATCGCGTTTCAAGATCACCCCGCCCAACAGAAAACTTTGCGCAACCAACCCCCCCCCATTTCGTCGACATGAGGCGAATTTTGGTTGACCTCGCCCGAGCTGTAGGCGTGGGTTGAAGCTCTGCGCCACTTCTTGGCAGCGCTACAAGCGCCCGGGACCCAGCAGCCGCCGGGGACAGATTTGGCTGTGGGTCAACAACCCGTGGTACCATTTTGGGGTAGGTGAATTCACCACCCATTTTAGTCTATTTTAGTGGGGATTGGGATGTTCACTGGGGGTACGGGATTTTGATCCATGGCCATTTGTGTCAAACGTTTGACGTCCGCCAAAGCTCAGTCCAGATGAAGGGACGCCAGTGCCACTGCCGGTTTACGAACCATCATGTCGCATACTAGAACCCTTTTTCCTAAGCACCCATAGTGTCACCAAAATGATGGTCTAGTTGGATTCCTCGCCTTTCATACCCTCCGCACTAAGTAAATCATTCGATCCCCCCTGAGTTCAAGAAGAAGTTTTGTCAATTGACTTGTGTCGGTTGGGGATTCTCGGGGACCCCCCTCAAGACCACAAGATTTATTGGGTTTCCCAATTTGTGAAACTAATTGAGAGGTTGAGTTCTGAGCGAGCGGTTTGTGAATATGTTGTGGCTTTTCCCATGAACGTGTTTGCAATGCTTGTGATTTCATTTCAGAAATGACTACACGCTCAGGGGTGGGGGCTCCAACTAATTTTATGACATGAAGTAACAGGAGCCCAAAACAAAAGTCATGGGGACCTCATCCAGTCCCAAATAAATTATTGAGATCCCCTAGACGACCCCTGATGAATTGCACATCAGCGCCCCTCCCATTTCATTCGGTGACGTCACCATTCCAACCAGCGGGGGCAATTCAGGGCGGCTGTTGCGAGGTTCGGGGAGGCCATGTGGAAGGGGATCCAAGAGGAGTTGCCCATGCCAGGGTCGAGTACCAGGCTCCCATGTTCCCGCTGCCCCAATCGAAGGTTCCGCTGTTGACCCAGGGATCCCCACGTTTTGGCCGCCCTGTTTGCGCTTGGTGATGCGTTTGCTACTTTAGCTCAAGGTGGCAAGCTTGAGTGTCGCTTGGGAGCCTGCGCATGAAACAGAAGAAACAACATGCAGCTTTCCCCCAGATCATGTGCAACTATATATTGTTCTTCAAGACGGGCTCTTTTGAGGAGAAGCTATGCGGCCACGCAAAAAAACCTGAGGAACCACCAGGCGATCGGATCCTTTGGCCACGCAACACACCTGACTCCTGGCCTCAAGCGGCCTGACTCAGGCCGGCAGTACCGACCAGAGCTGCTGGGAGTTCAAGATTATGAGATCAGGACAGAGCTTCAGACCAAGAGGGCATGTCTCAAAATGAAAGCGGGGTCAAGCCCCGGGTTTTAGCCTTTTCCTTGAATTTACCGAGATTTTTTGGTGCTTCTTTTTGAGCCGCAGCAAAGAAAATCACGGCGAAAAAGCGGCGGGTGCTAAACATTCCTCCCAAACAAAACGGATTGCTGGAGGTCTGGAGGCCAAAATCGGAATTTACCCATCCATGAGACGACCAAAAGGGGTGCCCGAAGGGTGCCCGAAGGTTTTGTCTCTCAGCGCCACGGGAGCGTCCATTCTGGGAAAACCCCAGGGACATGTGGGTGATTGCGGTTGGCGGGGGAAGTGTTTGGCAACCGGAATATGCCGCCCAGATCTATGCCCAGGACGGTGCGGAACTTCACGCAGCAGGAGTTCGCCAATTATGTGATGCCTGGGGCTTTGACCGTCAACTCGGGAGGCAACTCTTTGGAGGTCAGACCCTCTTGTGTGATTTTTCCCCCAGTTTCTTTTTTTCTTTTTTGCGGGCAGTCCGAGCAGTTGAGGTAGAACTCCGTCTAGACATGTACAGGAAACCAAGCAGCGGCCAGCCTTTATGATTAGGAGGGCCCGCTTTGTTGACACCTGAAGAGTGGTGGCACTCAGCCTGGTTGGAGAGCTTCAACTTGCAATGTGCCTTTCAGCTTGCGGATTGAAATATTGCCTCTGCCCTCTTGCAAAGTGAGTTCCTTTCCTGGTAAACATTATTTAGGTGACTCCTTATTAAAACTCAGAGCCCATATAGTTGTCCTTTTGTAGGCTTAAGAAAAAACACCCGTACACGGAAGCCTAAGCAATGCCACCATGTGTGTGTTGGGAACAAAGAGCACCCATCACGCGACGCACAGGTTTCGGTGAACCACTCTGGGGAGCTCCAAATGGCGGCAGTCTGTTTCGGCGGTTGCAAAGGTTGATTGTTGATTGGTGTTATATATATATATATTTTTAAAACATATACATGTGCATATATACGATTATGTACAAATACGTATTTATAGACTTGTGCTTTGACCATGCCTCCAGACCCCACAACCCTCAAAAGCTGTTTCTAAGGATACCACACCAAAGGGGCCTTTGGGCTGTTTTTTGGGGGTAAAAAGAGAAAGCGTGGCTTTCAGCTTGGTTTCCCTTAAAGCAGCACTAAAAAGCGGGGCCACCAACTCAAAAAACCGACGAGGCACCTGTTTGGGGTATGGAGACTGGGCCCCAAGACCTCGTGTTGCAGTTGACTCCGAGGTACCTGCGTCTCATGAACGTGGTGCACAAGTTCCCTCCGGAGGCGTGGAAGGTTGACCCCGGAAGAAACATCTCCGTTCCCAAAGGAGTTTGCTCTTGAACCACCTGCTCATGAACATCCATCAACAAATAAACCCATGTAGTCAGGCGCATGCCTTCGAAAACGCGCACCCCCCCCCCATATTCTTTATGGCTATTTGGTTGGATCCTTGGACTTGAACTTGGTTGAAACAGGTCAAATTGTCCATTGGACCCACGAGTGACAAACTTCTTGCAGAGTCTCGCTGGCAACCAAGCAGAAAGCTTGAGCTTGTATCGGGCCACTTTTCAAGCGAGCTGCACTGAGACTGCGAAAACTTTCTCAGAGAAGGATCCCCTGATCAGTATGGGCAGGCTGCGGCCAGAATTCCTGTCAACAGGGACCCCTTCTCACACATGCTTTAAACCCACTCCAGCGGGAAATTCTACCATTAGCGATGACCAGTTTGGGGACATGAACAATTTGTATCGATTCGGTGAAGAGAAGCAGGCACCGAAAGCAAGCTTCTGGGAGTCAAGACTCGAAACTTGGCAGAAACAAATGACAGCGAGCACGCTCAGGATTCCCATGCGCAAATGGGGTGTACTCACTGAACTCTCCATGTGAGTTCTGTCAAACTATCCAGGCCATGGTCTATTTGGGAGGGCATGGGGGAGTCTCTAAATGACCCAAAAAAACCAGAGCTCTGATTTGTCCAGCCATAGAGGGTCTCAATTTGGACAATGGTACATTTTTGTTGGGGACACAGTCAATGCAGTTTTTTCAGGAGTTTCTGAAATTGCTGCTTTCCTTTTAGTTTCACTTTAAAACCATCAAACAGGGGTACCCCAAAAAGAAGCGCGCCCATATTAACAGACCCACGCATGGCCTAGACATGCCATCATGACGGCATGCCTCACGCGCACTCCGCGAGCAGGATTTGGAGTACTTCTATATGCTCACTCAGGGCAACGGCCGCCGGCCGAGTTCCTTTTCTTCTGCGACATTTATGCAGCGCCTCAACCACTTTTTGCAATGGTCTTATGATCAATGGATTTCTTTTTTTGGCGGGCAGTGTAAACATCGAGTTTGAGTTGGTGGGTGACGTTTCAAAGGGGCATGTAGGAAACCCTGATGTCGCAGGCAGAATTGAATGAAGCGTTTGCCATTTGACCAAAGGGTCTTTGGTTGTACCTTTTGGCCTTTATTTGTTTGCGTTGAAAATGCCAACCAGGTTCCCCACACAGAAAGTTTGACGCCCACGAATTGAATTCAAGGAACACCCCCCTAAAAATAGGACAGGTTTATTCATTCGGGGTCAACATTAGCATCGCCCCCCCGTTTTCCATAACATCCGAAGTTGACGTTGAGCCAGTTCCAGGGGGGTTCCGTCAGACCTCGGGCGTGGCTTCTCCAAACCCTGGGCAGGAATCCAATAGGTGCATTTCCGGATGAAAGACGTAGGATATGAAGAAAAAACATGAGGTGATACTATACACCAGAAAAGGGCGCTAAAAGCGCGACTCTTTCATTTGCCTTTACGGGCACTGAGCTCTGCAATTCGGGGGTTAAACATTTGCTCAGCATGATAAACTTTATGGCCCTTTGGCAACGGATCTTTGGACTGGACAACTTTGTGGTTGAAGCTTTGCGGCTGTTCCGCATTGGATCCACAGAAAGTGAGCTTTTTGCAGAGGGGTCTGGCCAGCAACCAAGTAAAGGGTTTTTGCATGAAACATCGATCCCTTGCATCTTTTTTGCAGATCAACTCAGGTGTGGCTCGACGCCACGTAGGTTTGAGAAAACCGAGCCATGCGCGGTTCGATCAACATACCGGTACAGTATCCAGTCTGTCAATTTAGGAGGGATGCACTCTCCATCAAAGAAAGAGGGACGACGCCCCAACTTGCCCATTTTATTAGGGCAGGCGACATCAGCTTCCGCCCTTCTTTGGGTTTGGCATCTCCATTGAAACATGGGGCGATTCCCTAGATTGGTTTCATGATCCCCGTTACTTGCCGACAGAAACGATTCGAATTGTGGCAGCAATTTTTGTCGTGAATGCCAGGCTTTTAGTATAGCTCACATCAATACAGCCGCTTCACTTGGCAGACGGCTGCCTGTGACTTGTACCAGGATGAAGCATTTTGTCCAGGCATCCATTTCCGAAAATTGCCGAACCCCGGGCTTATTCTTCCAAGTGTGTCCCCTGCTCCTTTGAAAACGATGATGAAAACACAGAAATCAACCCTTGGACGTGCCCCAAGTGGCTAAGACAACCGGGCCGCTTACAAGCGCGTAGCAAGCCAGTCAGCGAGTTGCGAACGTGGAAACCCGTGGCTCAGGTTGGCAGGCCCGGCGGATCCTGTCCACACTCTATTGAGTCACCTCCACCTCAAGACCGATTCGAAATGGGAATGGGAGACAATCCCCTTGGCCCATAAATGCGGTTCGCGGCGATTCATGGTCCTGGGTTTCGACCATTTCGATATCGGTTTTGAGGGTGACTCTATTGAGCTTGTCTGTTCGCGGATCCGCTGAAATGGCGAAGCTTCGCGCGAAGGAACAAAAAGAAAGAGATGAGTTTGGTTTGTGTCAAGCGGTTTGCCGCTTACGGCCGGTTGAAATTGGTTTTCCGTTGCCGTCCAAAGCTGCCCCAGATGATAGTGGTTTCCCTTCTTGCAGATAACATGGGAAAAGTGTTCAGCGCATCATGAAGGGGGAACAACCAGTGGTTGACATTCCAGCGCTTGAAGCCAGTGATGGCAAAACATCAGCCGAAAGACACAGACCAGTCCCAGGAATCTCTGCAAACTTGGTGTCAGCACAAAGAATGATTCTGAAACCCTACAAGACAAAGTCACCAAATCCGTAGAGAACCAATTCTGCAGATACACGCCCCACAAGGCACAAGAGAATGCAACAAAAGCGCCCCTGCTTGGGTCTCCTTCCCCAGTCAGCGAAGTCAAGAAGAGGCTGCTATTTTGTTTCTCCCCCCCGCGTTGCTTGTTTCCGCTACACAGACCTCCAGCTTCTTTGTGACGTGTGTGTGTGTGTGTTTCTCACCATGCACAACAGCTGTCTTGCCGCGGTTCTGGAAGCAAAGAGCGCGACTCCGCAGCTCTGGCCCTGGGTTCGGGCGGTTCTCTCAGTCCGGTGCGTGCTGGTCTGAGAGCTGGCCTTCTGACCATGCTTCCTGCCTCGTGCCTCTGCTTCGAGTGGCGTGGATCCTGTCGGAAGGTCAGCTGAGTTTTCGGCAGGTGTTGTGCCTGGGCGCGAGACGGCATGGACCTGCGGAGGCCAATTCGGCAGAGGGCGAGGTGTTTTGTTTCGCGCGGAGGCGACTGTCCGATGTAGGCCCGGACGACTCCTTCACTTTGCAGGCAGTGGCGCATGAGCTGCTGGTGCGACGCCTGGCTTGACCAACCACGCCCAAAACCGCGCCCGAGCCCTGGCTGATGCCCAAGATGGACTGCCCATGCCGCAAGAAGCCCTCGTATGGACCAAAGCCTTGCTGTCAAAAGGATCAGCCGATCCCGGGAGCAGCTATTTTTCGCGAGGCGTGTTGGCATGAGATGCCCTAAGAAAGAGGTCGGGTCTGCGCGCTGCCCGGCTTCGTCAGGTTTGCCTGTGCCGTTTTGCCGTTTTGCCGCACGTGGATGCAAGGGTGCGAAGCTTGGCGCATGTGGTGCGGGCTCGGGCTGCGCTCCGGGGGGGGTGGGCAAGTTTGCGGCTGGAAGGTGAGTTTGGGTATGGGTTGTTTCTGGGGGAAGCCAGACTTTTGCCAAATAGTAGGAGACATCTGAGGTTGAGAAGTCGAATCTTGGCTCAACGATTGAGGATGAAAGGGTTCAACTTGACGTACTGGTCCGGAGTCCAGCTCAAAAGTTCCATTACCACTATAGTGGACAACCAAAGTGTCAGGAGTTTGCATTGTGCTTTCCACTTTACACAAAAGACAGAGCGCAAGTGGTGTGTCGGCAAAGGCTTTTTCGCCTAAGCTTGTCCTGAGATTGTCGGATTTGCTGTGGCAGATGCACAGCCTGGTTGTGTTTGTCGCCTCTAAGTGGAATTTTAAAGCAGACACTTGCCTTCGACCCAGGCACTCAACGACTGGAGAGGCCCGAGCATTGTAAGGAGAACCCCTGGCAAGAAGCCCTTGGATGGTATGAAGTTTAGCCTTCACAAAGAACGGCCGGGAGTGATCAATCTTTTGCGAGGTGTTTTGGGGCTCGGGTCTGCGCACCCAGCTTCGCCGGCAGGCAAGCCGCTGCCGTTTTGCCAGACTTGTGGATGCAAGGGTAGTGCAAAGCTTGGTATGTGAGTTTGTTGTGCGGGCTGGGTGTGGGCGATGTCAAGCCTTTCTGGCCTCACGCGCACTGGTTGCGAGCTCTGGTGCGAGCTTCATGCGCCGGATCCCGGCTCGCCTCCCTTGCGCCGAATCTGGGCGCCTTCGTGCGCAGAAGGCCATGCCCGACAGACCCGCGCTGAAGATGCGGACCGTTTGGGAGGTCTCGAGCTCCCTGGAAGCTGTGGGGGCCTGAGAAAACCCGAGCCTTAGCTCGGCGTTGCGCGCGGGTGGGCGTCCGGAAGTGCAGCGGGGTGTTCTGCTCAACATGTGGGGAGGGTGCTTGTTTCGTTGTGGCCCAATGAGTTTTGCAGGCGCTGGGTTTCTCACTCCCTGAGTTCCCGGACTTTGAACTTTGTGGGAAGACCGTCTTCGTGGCAATCAAAAGCTTCGGACTTTGTTTGGCCAATCCACTCCGGAAGTGAGAACTTTGGACCATGAGAAGAGGCCGGCCACGTGAAAAACCAGCTCAAAGCTGTAGAGCGACCCCGACATGCCTGAGCCTTAGGTCGTTGTGTGCGTCTCAAGCGCAGCATGTTTTTCTCAGCGCACGGGGAGGGTGGGGAATTTGGTGGCCGGAAGGTGAGTTTGGGTCTGGGTTGTTGCTGGGGCAAAACACTCCGAGACATCTGATTTTGAGCAGTCGACTGTTGGCCCAGCGAAGGATCAAAGGGTCAAAAGGCTCCAACTTGACGTGTTCCGGAGTGCAGGGCCGAACTGCTAGGAAACAACTCGTTCTCTGATTCCGCTACCACTATAGTGGACAACCAAAGTGTCCGCAGCTTGCATTTTCACCCTCATTTCACGAAACGACCCTCTTGCAAACGAGACTCTTGCGAGTGCTGTGTCGGCATGGGCATTGTCACCTCGCGTGGCAAATGTTGGACAGCGTTCTTTGCTGGTCTGAACGGTTTTGCTTGTCGCATGCCACGGCGTTTTGTTCGCCGGCCAAGAGCTCCGGGCCTGCGGCGTGCATCTTCTGTCGGGGCTTTTTGTGCCAGGATCCGCGCTTTCGCACTTTTCCGCCGGTGTCCAGCATCTCGGCATGTCTCAAGCTGATGTTGGCCCTGAGCCTGAACTGTGGCCAAAACCTACGAACGGAAGGACAACTCGCCTTAAATTGGGGCGCAAAGGCAGTGGTTCAAACCAGCAAAAGGGCATCAGAAAGTCGTTTCCCCCTCCCCCCTTCAGCTGTAGGAAGTTAGAGACGCCTCCAAGGTGCCGAAGCTGTGGTGCCTGATCGCAGCCCCTGGGCGGACCCTGGTCCATTTTTTCTATTTGGTGGCCATGGGTAAGGGCACCCTAAGCCCAGACTGCAGCTCTTAAGGTTCACCAGCAATGTATCGACCACGGTTTTGGCACAGCCAACGAATAAATTGAGCCGCTGAATCGCCGGATCCTTGATATGGAGTGTGGGCCCTTATGGAGTGCATCAACGAACGCTGTCTTCTCTCTGGCGTTTGGCCATGGCAAGGATTGGGAGACTTGGCCAAGACAAGTGCCCGTGTCTCAGATCTCCATCGCCCGGATGATGTCTACCTGCCGCCAGGCAGCCTTGGTGTGGCTTTCCCTTCGCTTGCGATTGGCCGTGAAACCACTAACCCAGCCACCCCCCCTAACAACGTAAGGCAGGCTGCGTATTTGCGTGTTGGCGGCTGCCGCAGTGGCGGTGATAGCTCTCGCACACAAGCTCGCGCGAGCTCCCAAGGTTTCCTTGCGACGTTGCTTTGAGCGCGGCCTTTTGAACGCGGTTCATGTGGTCCTGCCTGCACCTCAAGAGAGATGCGGCGCACATTTCCTGAGGAGTAAACGGACGCAGCAGTGTTGCCGGCAGGGAAACGCATCTGGTAAATCGACCGCACCCCAACCGCCCAACCAGATGTCTCGCCCGGGTGTGGCCTGTGCGTACGGCTGCATGCGCTGCTTCGCGCCAAAGAGCCCAAAGCGCCCGCTCTGAGCTACTATTTCCAGAGATGCAGGCCGGCAGTGAAGTGCAGCTGATGCCTTGCGCGGTGTACGCATGCCTTGCGACATGTCGCATCTGAGCAAGGCCCAAGTTGTGTCCGTTCCAAGGTACTAAAACCAGACACAGTTGTCCGCTTGGCAAAGTGGAGATCCTTCCGGCGGTGTGTGAGTTCCGGGCGCGGCAGACAGTTTGTTGAGATCAGAAAAGGCCGCTTTGCGCCTTCGGATGGCTCTTGCCTAGCTCTCGTCCAGACCTCGGTACGGTGAGAAAGGAACAATTCGCTCATGTTGCCTTTGCTTCGAACAACATTCCCTGTGTTCTATCCCTGGGAAGTTATGGGCAACTCTCTTGGAGTTGATACGGCCTTCATCCTTTGCTTTGCAGAAGAGCTATGCACTGTGTTCTGGCCGGAAGGCTAATCCCGCAGACTGCCTGAGAATTGATTTGTGCTCACGTGGCTTAGTTCAGAATGGCAGGTAAGGGCAGCAGGTCTTTGCTCCCAAAGGCATGACGGTGTGGAGGTCATATAATCTGGCACGCCTGACACGCCTGACATATGTCAGTGGATCTACGCACTCTAAGATACTGTAAGGAGTTTGCTGGTGCAAGCCGACTTCCGTTCGGCCAAACGCAAGGGACCGGGCCCAGCTTCTCACCAGCGCCATGCCTCAATTCAACTGCAATGAGTCGCAGGAGAGCTGGAGCAACAGGGCAAGCGAGAGATGGCCTCATGTCAAGCGCTGAGTGGTCAGACCATCACCTGCCTTCACTGCAGCTATCCAATTTTGAGCTGTGCCCGTGCGTCACGTGGCCTCGGCGTGAGGGTGGCATGTTCCTTCTGGATGGCTGGACGGCGGCCGGAGTTGCCATGTGAGCGAATTGCAGAGCCAAGATGCGTCCCTGGCGCTGGCGATGACTCTGCTTATGACAAGCACTTCCTCTCATCCTGCCAATGAATGTTCGGGTCTCAGGCGTGTGGTGAGCTTTAGGCCAGGCTATGTACGCGGCAATGTTGGTCTCCGCCTTCCCGCAGACTATCGCAATGCATTGAACGAGCCTCTGCCACTTCGAGGTTCATGCTGCCATGCTTTTGACAGCTCCAGGCGCCTGT